TTCATTATCCAACTAGGTAACATCATCAGTGCTAGTGAGTGTGGGGTTTGCTCCCTGTTTACATACCGTAGCTTTGTATTCTGTATTCTGCCTTATTGTTATCAGTACTTTGGAATCAATACACTTGTTCTGATCATTATTCTGATTCTTCCTATATTCCAAGAGGGAGACTATCTGGCACCCCACCTTCAAGCAGAATGGCCTTGAGGTTAGACCTCACCTGTTGTGAAAGCTTAACTTATTGTACCCATTTAGGGAGAAGGTGTTGGGGGACCTCTAATTGCCCCAGATAGGAAAACCCAAGGAGGGACATGGGAGGGTGATCCCCAGGAGAAAATGGATCCTTCCTGCCTTGCTGGTTGTTCCAGGGTAAGTAGTCCTAGAAGTCCCCAAAAGGACTGTTGTATGAATCCTCAAAGGAGCCTTTCACTTTGATCAAGACTTTGAAGACATCTTATAGCATTAAACTGGATGCTTTGACTGTCTAAGGTATGTGTGGTCATGAATGAAAGATATTTCTCCCAAAGTGAACTGGTGGGTGAAGCAGAGTCACCTGTCTTGCAGCTTCCAACTGGAACTTTTCCTTCTCTGCCCAGAGATGCAGCTTCAGGATTGGTCCGGACATCCGGTCAAGGCCAATTCAGTACAGGAAGCAACACACGGCTGATTTGCAAACCCCACTCAAGAAATATATTAGGGAGCTATAGGTTCTAGAAAGAGGTTTCCTTGCAAAAATGCGTCCTTTGGGAAATCTTGCATCCAAAACTGTACATGTTTTGACAGAAGGAACAAAAAGCAGACATGAGAAACTGACAAGGTGTTTTTTCTGTCCTCCACATGGAAAGACCTCGATAGTACTTTGTTTCCTCCTTTGTTCTAGGGGGCATAGTTTAACCATTTCTGGAATAAATTTATTTCAGGCACAGATTCAACCCCACTTATTTACGTGGCGTTTATATTTTTAGGACTGTAGAGGAAGGAAGAATCATAGTGCTATTTTTCACAGTCTGTGGTAGAGAGTTTGAGGGGATGTGTTTGGAAGAAGGTGAGTCCGATCTCCGCCAACAAGGAGTTTTGCTCAGTCTTTCTGAAGTTCTACTTTTCTTCCTTTTCTTAGCAGCCCAACAGCAGCAGTGATAATTTACAGTCTATTACATCAGGTGACTGGGATGTGAGCAAAATTTTGGGCTATGATGAAAAGCAGCATAAAATGTAAGTAATTTTCTTAAAAGTAAAGGAAGCTGACCATTTTTACCAAGCCCCTAATGTCACTGATTATCATGGATTTGAGATTTACAATGTGAGAACCTGGTCAGCGGCCTGCTGAAAGCCAGGAAATGTGTATCTGGTTTACTTTGGTGGATCAGAAAGTCCCAATCTGTGAAATGGGTATACGAATCACAGGACCACTGAAATTATTTCTACTGCATATGGAAGGGGAAGATCTGACTTGGGGGCAGTGGGCCAGCAGCTGAACATGAGCAAGCAATGTGATGAAGCAACTAAAAAGGCTTTCTTAACCCAAGCACTGCATTCAGTTCATGGGAGGTAATGGTTGGTGCTGGAATTCAACCCCACTGAGGAACAATTTAAGGAATGGAGTAAGTTTAGATTCCAAAAGCATTTGAAAAAGACCAAGGGGAGACAAGTTAGTTGTAATCAATACATAAGACTATCATGTGTAAAACGGGGCGGATCACTTCCCTGCTAAAAAGAAGGACAGGTCAAGACCAATAAGTTGAATTAAACGAGGGAGATCTAGACTGAATCTTAGGAGGAATTTTGTGATGGCAATAGATGTTATTTGCTGGAGTTTTTTTAATGACGGCTGGAAGGCCTCTTGTCTGGAATGGCTAGCCA